TGAACCTATATGGGATACGATATGCATAGTAAAGACTAACTTTATTTATTCATATTGGATTCAATTTCAAGGGTAATTTTTGAGAATATGTAAATACACTGTTCTGACAACTACTAGTAAGAATTGTGTTGTGTTTAATTAAAATTAATAATATTATTACATGATTGTGCTAATACTGTATGCTAAAACAATAATTATTATTGAATTCCGGTTCTGGGAAATATCATAGTTATAGTTATCATATTAACTTTCCATGATAATATCGAAACGGAAGCCGTTCTCTATAAATCTTTCAGATAACTTCATCAAAGTCTTCAGCTCATTCCATCCCAACTTTCCATTCAAATTCAATTTTATAAATGTAGGATTTAACTCGTTCCACCAAGCATTCCACGTCAATGCAAAAGCAAAGCCCATGGACACTCCTACTATCACCTGCATGTGTGTATGATAACCCAACGCAATTCTCGACCATACAACGGATATTGCAATCCCCAAAGCTATCGTGCTTAATAGTAAATTTATAAGGTAAGGCAGAGGTGACGAGAATAATTGAAAAGAAATTGACAATGCATAGTAAATCGTAATTGCTGAATGTGAAGATGGCATTCCGTAAGATTTATCTTTGGGTCGCGGTTGACGGATGATATACTTTAATACCTTTGCTATTTAATTTTAATTAAAAAATAAGAAATGTTGGATCCGATGATTTCGTGAGAAACGTGGACATTTCCTTTTATTGTGAATTTGCTGCAAAAATCTTACCAATGAAACCCATTACAATACCGCCAGCAATTATGTACGCTACGTGAATATCTCTAGCATAAACGAGCACTATCGAAGCTACCAGTGCCACCCATCTTCGCGTCTAATAAGTACAATGCCATTTCAGTTTTGCAAGTTTAATTCAATATTACTAATACTCAATAAAAAAACCACTTACATGTTCAAGGAAATTCAAAAGCTTCGAAAGCGTTTTAATCATTGTGGAGTTATATAAGCACTTGAAATAAAAACAATCTCTGGAAATATAACGAGAGCGAACAGGTTGCGTATTATAGAAGGACAGTAAGCAAATAATGAACTTGTATTTTTATTAATGATTAACGAAAATGTGATCTGCATAGCTGAATAACCACCACGGACGCAAATGTAGTAGTTTGGATCTAGAATGAAACATCAGTATTGAAAGGAGTAAGAAAATCTCCGGACAGATTGCACTTTTTTAATGACAATTTTATCACTAAAATGTAATAGGATTTAAATATTTAAAGCCGAAATGCGAGTTACAGTAAATCAAATAATGAGGTGATCCTTTCTTCATTTATTTTATTTTATTTTATTTGTCGAACAATTATCCTAGTTCTGTAATGGTTGATCATGACTCCGGATGAATTGTTTATGTAATTTGTGTTTATCAAAGTAGTGTTTCTTTCTGTTGTGTGCGACGCGATATCACGTTTCGTCACCCTGTTGTTGCGAACAATGGTGGGATTTCTAGAATAACGTAGAATAATAAACAGATGTAGACATATAAATAATAGGCGCGTGTATAAACATACAGTATGTGCAGTTTTATAGCATGTACGGGGTTAAGTCCTTCCGCGTCTCAAACTCTTATCTGGTGTTTCCACTTCCCTGTTGCCTAAACGCTAATAACTGGATCACGTGACTTAAAAATCAAGAATTTGGTTAGGAGTGAGAAAGTTCTAGCAACCAGTAGAGTTCCAAGAAGTGTTAAAATTAGTAAGAGAAAAGAAGAACCGGTCAAATCTTAATAAGCCTCAAGAGTTTAAATAAACAACGCTTACTTCATCTAACGTTACGTGGAGACGATTGGGATTAGCGACAGACTCGCCGATTGCGCCTGCAACACTAATTTGATATAATTGACCTTAACGAAACGACCAATTTAACATACAGTATAACATATGTACGAGAAACATTGATGTGTCAAATTTTTTGCAATCTTGGGCAGCGATCAATTAAGGATGTAACTTGTGTTTCGGTTCTCCACTTTTTTAAAGCATAATCATTGTATTTATTTTTATAAAAAAAATTAACATAGATCTGGAAATAAACGTCAATAGGGTATTGACTCTTGAGTCATTCCAAAAAAAAAATTATGAAATTAGATACATCCTAAAGCTTCAACCTTTCTTTTTTCCAAACTAATCATCATCCTCTTCGCCATCATCGTTATCTTCACCGTCATCGTTATCATCGTCATCGTTATCATCATCATCATCATCATCGTCATTACACCACTCAGGAACGCTAAAACTTTCTACTCGAGTACCACCTCCCCATGGACCACCCCCGATAATCTTAGCATCTATTCCAAGCCCTCTCTTAGCGAATGCTTGCCAAATATCACATAAATTATCGCCGTTTGTTAATAATTCATCGGCTTGAATGATTGCATCCCTGGCGTCAATGAATGTTGGTCTGCACGGTTGTAATTTCATCCCGTCTACAATCAACTGTAAGGCAAGAGTGTTACCATGTCTTGGCGTCTTAACGTATTCAGAGAAGTACCATTCAGCCAAAGACGCAGGGTGGTTGTCAGTCGGTGGGAACCAGTTAGCGGTAAAACCATGTTTGTCTACAAGGTTCCAGTATACTTCATATAGAATTTCGGCCCAGACTTCTCTGTTAAGTAATAAAAACATTTTTAGATCAATTAAAGTACATTTCTTGAGAAAACGATGCATACCCTTTAGCATGAACGCCCCAATAACCTGGCTTGTCCAAGTATGAATAGGTTGAAGGATTGGTCTTTAGGGAAGTTGAATACTACACACACATGCGTGTGTAATGAAAGAAAATGCAGAATATCGTTAAAAGAGCATCGCCATTATGATCCGTCGACGTTAAGACAACGTACAAGATATTTTCTTATCCCTTCACCGTTTGCCCACTCGCCCATGCCAAAATCCTTGGTGCGATCGAACGTTGAATTCATTCGAAATATGGTAGCAAAGAAATCCCCCCACCCTTCACCCATACCACCGGCTTCATCCCATCCAAGACAATTACTATTTCCGGGTCCACCAGTTAATCTTGTAGAAATACCATGAGCGTATTCGTGCACCTATTATAAAAATGGGGTCAACGAAGATTATAAAATAAAATAATACGAAAGCAAATTACGTACAATAATACCGGATTCCAAATCACCATCGCGCCACGGATTGGTGACATTCCATACATACATACGCATTTTACCCTTGAAATTGAATCCAATATGAATAAATAAAGTTAGTCTTTACTATGCATATCGTATCCCATATAGGTTC